CTGCTGCCCATGCTACTGTAGGTCATTCATCCCCTCTGCAGTAAGAGTGTATAACGTCTCAGTTTAACTGGTACTGGCATTATCCTGGTACACAATACCACCAACGCAATACTCAGTATGTGTACTTGTGCAATACCGGATTTACAAAGTATGTCTGTGTCCCTTAGAGTATGCTGCATAGATTTGGAAACACAAGTTTTCCTTTAATTTGTTGTTCTTAGTGGTTGAAGATTACAATAGGAGCTTTTGGCCTTTGTGTGTTCACCTGTAATCTTTTCTTCTTTCTTCTTTGGGGCGACGGTGGCACAGGAGTTAAGTGCTCGCCCCGCAATCAGAAGGTTGCAGGTTCGAGCCCCGCACAGTCTGTCGCTGTCGTTGTGTCCTTGGGCAAGACACTTAACCCACGTTGCCTGCAGGTGGTGGTCGGAGGGACTGGTGGCACCAGTGCTCGGCAGCCTCGCCTCTGTCAGCTGTGGCTACTTTGTAGCTCATCCCCACCAGTGTGTGAATGTGTGTGTGAATGGGTGAATGACTAATTGTGTTGTAAAGCGCCTTGGGTGGTTCCAACACTCTTGAAGGCGCTATATCAAATACAGGCCGTTTACCATTTCTTTTTCTCTAAGTGAGTGTGCTGCTGCAGCAAGGGCCTCTCCCTGCGGTGGGATCAGTAGTCTATTCTATTCTGAAAAACCCTGTTCCGGTCCAGTTTTAAATCCTTGATCCGGTCCAGTTTTAAACTCCAGTTCCGGTCCAGTTTTAAATCCTTGATCCGGTCCAGTTTAAACTCCAGTTCCGGTCCAGTTTTAAATCCTTGATCCGGTCCAGTTTAAACTCCAGTTCCGGTCCAGTTTTAAATCCTTGATCCGGTCCAGTTTAAACTCCTGTTCCGCTCCAGTTTAAACTCCAGTTCCGGTCCAGTTTTAAATCCTTGATCCGGTCCAGTTTAAACTCTTGTTCCGGTCCAGTTTAAACTCCAGTTCCGGTCCAGTTTAAAATCCTTGATCCGGTCCAGTTTAAACTCCAGTTCCGGTCTAATTTTAAATCCTTGATCAGGAAGTTTAAACTCCTGTTCCGGTCCAGTTTTAAATCCTTGATCCGGTCCAGTTTAAACTCCTGTTCCGGTCCAGTTTAAACTCCAGTTCCGGTCCAGTTTTAAATCCTTGATCCGGTCCAGTTTAAACTCTTGTTCCGGTCCAATTTTAAATCCTTGATCAGGAAGTTTAAACTCCTGTTCCGGTCCAGTTTTAAATCCTTGATCCGGTCCAGTTTAAACTCCTGTTCCGCTCCAGTTTAAACTCCAGTTCCGGTCCAGTTTTAAATCCTTGATCCGGTCCAGTTTAAACTCTTGTTCCGGTCCAGTTTAAACTCCAGTTCCGGTCCAGTTTAAAATCCTTGATCCGGTCCAGTTTAAACTCCAGTTCCGGTCCAATTTTAAATCCTTGATCAGGAAGTTTAAACTCCTGTTCCGGTCCAGTTTTAAATCCTTGATCCGGTCCAGTTTAAACTCCTGTTTCGGTCCAGTTTAAACTCCTGTTCCGGTCCAGTTTAAACTCCAGTTCCGGTCCAGTTTAAACTACTGTTCCAGTCCAGTTTAAAGCCCTGTTTTGGTGTGGTATGGCAGCTGTACTGAAAATAGTGAGAGCTGAGAAGATCATCGGTTCTCCTCCTCCCTCCTGGAGGGATGGAGAGAGGAGGAGAACCGATGCTGCCCTTCCTGGTGTAGTTTATACTGACTTTAATGCTATGTAACACTGCCACGTGTCTCCTGGTTTCTCTTTCCTTTTAGGGCACATTTTCATTCACGCGTTTTGCTGACTGCTGATTGCTCAGACACCCGTATGCTCTGACTTCTTCTCCTGCATGTTTTGATTTAATCTACTTCTACTTCTGACTGCTTTGCACCGTGGACGTCAAAGAGAAACGGGACTGAACTTTGTCAGGACGATGGTATGGATCCACTCCAAACCTCTGAAGTCACCTGTTCAAGGCTGACACTTCCAGCTCCAGTTGACTCTTCTCCTTCATCTGGTCTCCATGGCGACGCTTCCAGACTTCAGCTGCAGACATAGCTTCTGCCACCTGCTTCTCCTGTGGAGCAGAAACCTCGTTTTCAGACCAACAGCCTTCCCGTGGAGGAGTCAAAGTTTTTTTTTTTTACCATCTGCAGCAGCTGAGCGCTCAGCCGACCTGCTGCATCTTCACTGCGCTCTGCTCGGTGTTTCTGGGTCCCTGTGGCCCGTTTCAGAGCCTCTCGTTCTGTCGCAGCTTCCCCTTTGAGCCTCATCAGCTGCTCTGTCAGGTGCGCCATCTCCGCCTGCTGCTGAATGGCTGCCCGCTCCTGATTCTGACCCAATCAGAGACAGGGAACACTCTGAGTTCAGGTTTGTTTTGTTCTGATTCTGATGAAGGCCCACCTGCTCAGACGGACCTTAATCTGCACAGAGAGCCGGTTGTTCTCAGCCTCTCGGCTGCGGAGTCGACCCTGCAGACGAGCTCTGGTGGACTCCAGACTTCTGGATAAATCTGCTGAACTCCTGGCGTGTTCCTGCGTGTTCCAACCCAAATGTGATTCCTGTCGTCAGCATCTGTGCCTTTATTGGAAGCTTGGGAGAAAAAAGAACAGCATCAGCTGGTCTGGTACCTTCTCGGCATCCACAAGTCCAGACAGCTGGTGGACCTCCTGGTTCTTCTCCTCCAGTTTCACCAGGAGATGCTGAGAGAAGAAAAACAAAGTGAGAAAGAGTTCCTCCAGAGACACGAACTAAACATCTGCAGGCAAACGGCTCAAATCCATCCAGCTTTTAAATCCCTGTTTAGATGTTTGAGTAGAAGATGTGAGCGAAGAGAACAAACATCTGGATTATGAACACATCAGAAGGACTCGCAGCTTTACTGTGGGTTTGATTTAACTAGTTTTCATCAGATTTACCTTTTAAACTTTATTATTTCTTAAAACTTTATGATGAATATGTTCTGATGCTAACAGGAAGTGATCCGAACTCACGGCGTTTTCAGCTTCTGTGTCGTTCAGCCTCTGCAGCATCTCCCGGTTCTGCTCCGACAGTCGAGTGGACTCTGTCTGCTTAAACCAGAACCAGAGCATGAAGGCGTGAGGAGGTCAGACATGGTCCTGCAGGGTTCTGACGGTCCAGCTTGTTACCTGAGACTCTTGCTGCTCTCTGAGGAGCCGTCGCAGCGCCTGGTTTCTGCTCTCAAACGTCTTCAGCTTCTGCAGCAGCAGCTCCGTCTGTTCCGCTAAACCCAAAGCCGTACAACCGGAACACTTCTTCACCAGGAAACAGAACCAAAAAGATAAATGAGTTCATCAGCCCTGCATCCTAAAGCTACCGTGTCTCTAGGTCTGGGTCGGACTGGGTCAACACTCACATTCCTGCCAGAAGCGCTCAGACGGGAAACAGCTTCTCGGAGAGCTGAGACTTCCAGAGCAGCTGCAGCTCCATCAGCTTCAGCCTCCTCCAGCTTCTGCAGCAGAGCATCTCCATCCTGAAGGGAACCGCCGGCTCTGAGGAAACATTTCCCTTTGTGATTGTTTGTAGGATGAAAACCGACCAGAGCAGCGGAGGCTGAGCGCCGGTCTCCGACCCGTTTTATTTCATCACACCTGCTGCTCTCCTCAAGAACCTTCTCCGTGGGCCGACATAGCTGTGTGTTTTGCTCCTGGGTCACCTCAGCCTGCTGCTCCTCCTGATCTACCATTGCTTGTCTGGAGGTGTTTAGCTGCTCACGCTGTTGATGAAGAAGATGCTGCTTCTTCCTTCGCGCTACCTGACAACAGAGAGCAGATTTTTGGTTGGGCCGGTACCGATCACCTGGACTTCTTTTAAACTCAAAACCTGGTTCTGCAGAGAGCTGACCTCAGTCATTAAGCTGTGGGTACGTCCCTGCAGACCCTCGTCTTCTTCGGATGTCAGCTCTGACAATCGCAGCGCGGAGTGGTGAGGTTCTGGCTCTGTGAGCGGTGGGATGATCTCAAGGCAGTGTGTTGGACCCTTAAAGAAAACACAACAAGTAACGATGCAAACCTTTAGGAAGTGTCAAGATTGATCAGCGCGACCTCTGACCTCCCATGTGTAGGAGGTTCTCCTGCTGGGGGACTTTCCTAGAGGGATCCTGGTCCCTCGGGTTTGGACCGGCGCTGTAGGGTGGAGGGTTACTCTGTCAGTGCGCGCCCTGGCCTTCAGACACAGAACAAAAACACCACTTCATCACTTTCTCAGCAGGTCTTCAGAGGAGCTATGTGTGTTGATGAGGATCTCAGATCTGAGGGGTACTGGGAAGACCCACCCTTTGGCTCTTCAGGTGGACATGGACAGGTGTGGTGTCGCTGATGTGCACGTGAAGCGGAGGAGACCCCGACTGGTGCCTCATGGCTTTTCTCTAGGAGACAATGACATCTTTCCTAAATCCCATGAAAACAAACGCTGATTCCGAGTCCTTCACCGACATCTGACCTCATAGGTGTGACCTCACACGTGTTTTCAGGGTTCATTCTAAATGTGATTCACTTTCCGTGAAGGTTTTGGTGCTTCCATCAGCTTCAGACACAAGATCATGCATCTATTTAAATTCAAGCACTTTCAAGGATTTCAAGCACCAATAAATGCTTAATAACTAGACGAGATCTGGTAAAGTACCGAGTGTGAAGTATTTGCTGCTGGGTTTGATTGTTCAGTAAAACAAAACAATAAAAAACAAACAGTTACAAAATAAAACTAAGACTGGACTGCGTTTGTTTCATTCATAAAAACTCACGACGTAAACTCAAGCGCGCGCTTCTGACAGCGTTAGCTTAACGGCAGCGTTTGTAGCCGCTTTAGCTGAAAAACTTACCATCGAAGGACCTAAAAGCAACTGGCTGAGACCTGAAAACACGTTTAATGCGCTCTTCTGGGTCGCTGTTTAACGATATTTATCATCAGCAGATTAGCTTGAAAAGTCGGTTTAAAGTATTCGGGTGGGGAGGGGGGAACGTCTGTTGCAGCTATCGCCTCTGTGATTGGGCAGTACAAATCACGTGACATGATCCTTCATTAATAATTGGACGACAGTCATGCCTCTACCGTTCCTTAGCAACAAGTCGAAGCACCACCATCGGCCCCGATGTTCTGGTTCGGTGCTGAGCTTGAAACTCGTTGTAGAACCGTACGAAACCTACTTTTATTAGTGCTTTTAGCTAATTAATGACCGTAAACCGGTCCGGACCAGAACCAGGTGGGAAATGTGTATTTCCAGAGCAGCTGGAGCTCCTGAACAGGCCCGTTCTTCTGCCGTTACCGGCGCGTGTACCGAACACTTCCCGGCACTAGATGGCGCCGAAGGTTCTGATCAGTTCTGATGCATCTGGACTCGTCTCGCTCTTCATCACGACAGACCGGGGGGTATTCCAGAAAGCGAGATTTTCCCAAAACCAGGCTCTCGTTTGGAATTCCCGGTTTAACCATTCCTACATCTGTTTTACGTGGCCGGATGTTCCTGGAGCCTGAAAGCCCTCCCAGTCACCATGGTAACACCTAGCAGCTAGGCTTACTGATGCTTTTTATAAATAAATGAAAATTTATTTTATTTTATTTTATTGAAAATGATCTAAAACATCAGACCGATCAGAAACAAGCCAGGGGTAGTGCACACACAGAAAAGAGAGAGGAAGAAGACTTTCTAAGACCAAAACGGGTCAAGAGTCCCGATGGCCAGGGGGTGCAGCAGAGGAGTATTGTTTGATTTCAATCATCAGAAGGCTGAATATGAGTTTTTAGTAGGAAATTTTACATTTGTGGATATGATATTTTGCTAGAATTATAAATAGAATAATAAAACAATAGTGTGCTTTGTGTGAGCCAGTATAATACATCCTTGCACAAGATAGACATTTTCAAGGACATTTCGTTGCACAAATAGAGAACAGTCTATCCAGAAAGAAACAGTAAACGTGCATTTCCAGAATAAATGAGAAGTTGTTTTGATGTCCGATTTGCAGAATGAGCAACTTTTGTCAATGTCCAAGTGCAATCGGGACTTTGCTGGGTAACATCTGTGAAGAAGTTTGAACCATACGTCCCAAGGTTTGTTGGTAATGAGATATTTGGAGCATAAGGTCCAGACGTTCTTCCACACAACGTCCGGGGCAAACTTCCTCCAACGGTGGGTGACATAAGATACAGTTGCAATGCTTTTTTGAAAAAGAGACTTTATTTGTTTCTTGTTGAGAGGCTGGAGGCAAAACATGCTTTGCCTACATTGGTCTGGAACAAAGAGCAGGAAGGTGGAGAACGTGAACTTTCCCTAAACAACATGATGACTCCATGAGGAATCACATCCATAACAATTGCAAAGTCTTTAGGAGTGACTGGAATGTGATGGGTTTTTAGGAATTCACTGTAAGACATCAAATCTGCACCAAACCACTACAGACCTGTCGCCTTGACCTCCCGTCTGATGAAGACTATGGAATTATGTCTCCAGCTCGGTGTGTGTAGGAGTGGGGGACTCACCTCCTCGTTTCTACTCTTGGAGTCTCTTCCTGAATGCACCAAATGCAGTCTTTTTAACCGGGAGGTGTCAGTAGGTTGATCAGCTGTAGCTGTGCCTCTACTGGATGGAGACAGGGTGACTGGCGTTGCCCAAGGTGCTGCACAGCCCTTTAGCACCATCTACTGGGTGGAAACGGGAACGTCCGTGACACTCCTCACCCATCTATGTTCAGTAGTGACCCCGGAAATGAACCCACTGCAATTTGCATATAAACCAAACATAGGGGTGGAGGACACCATCATCTACCTGCAGCACCTGGCGCTGACTCACCTCGAGATGTGAAAGAACACTGTGAGAATCGTGTTCTTCTGCTTCTCAAGTGCCTTCAACGCCATCAAGCCTTGTCTACTGCAGCAGAAGATGAGGGGTGCAGGAGTGGAAGAACATCTGACTGCATGGACCATCTACTACCTCACCAACAGGCCACAGTACACGAGGCTGCACAACTGTGCATCTGAGGTGGTTGTGTGCAGTTCTGGAGCTCCACAGGGTACGGTGCTCTCTCCCTTTCTCTTCACCTTCTACACCTCGGACTTAACCTACAACACCAGCAGCTGTCACCTCCAGAAGTTCTCTGATGACTCGGCCATTGCCGGCTGTGTGTCTGAGGGGAATGACCAGGAGTACAGTAGCCTAGTGAACTAGACCAAATTCTTGCTTTGCAAAGTTTGGTCTGGGCACGCTCCATTGGAACCTCCGCAGCTCCTACCAGGACTCTGGCTAGCCTATCACAGCTCTCTAGAGGGGTTTCAAACACATAAAGAGCTGTGATTAGTCCATAATGGTGGGCCAATCATAGTGCTCTATCTGCTTAGTGAACAAATCACAGAGCTTTATCCGCTTTGTGGGCCAATCAGGGCACTCTATATGCCTGGTGGGTGGGATGATGCAACAGAGTGAAACAAGAGTATGTCACATTCATTGTCCAGTGGAATGCGGAGATCATTTGAAAGACAACGGTAGAACCCGCCCCACAACCGAGAGCCGTCAATGGAGCGTGGCCAGACTAAATAATACATTTATGTAGTCTGGCTTGCCAGGCTAGGAGTACAGGTCAGTCATCATGGACTTGGCGGACTGGTGTGAACGTAACCACCTTAGCTTAAACACCAGTGAGACAAGAAATGGTGACTGACTTCCAGAGAAACACTCCTCCTCACTCACCAGTAAACATCCAGAGAGCAGACATGGAGGTGGTGGATACCTTTAAGTACCCAGTGTTCACCTCACCAGCAAACTGAACTGGTCCAACAACACAGATGCTGTAGAAGAAAGACCAAAGCCACCTCCACCTCCTGAGGAGGCTGAGGTCCTTTGGAGTGATTTCCCAGCTGCTAAAATCCTTTTACCACTCTGTGGTTGGCTCTGTTATCCACTCTGCTGTGGTCTGTTGGGGTGCAGGCAGCTCTGACCGAGACAGGAAGAGACTGAACAAGCTAGTTCACAAAGCTAGCTCGGTTCTGAGCTGCCCACTGGATTCAGTTGAGGAGACGTGTGAAAGGAAGATGCTGGGGAAGATGACCTCCATCTTAAAATCCCCTCCCACCCACTGCATTCCACTGTGGAGACCATGGACAGCTCCATCAGAGGCAGACTGAGAAATCCCAGATGTAAAACAGAACACTACCATAGGTCTTTACTCCCCTCTGCAGTAAGAGTGTAGAACTCCTCAGTTTAACTGGTACTGGCATTATCCTGGAACACAATACCACCAATGCAATACTCAGTATGTGTACTTGTGCAATACCGGATTTACACAGTATGTCTGTGTCCCTCACAGTATGCTGCATAGTTCTGGAACCCAAGTCTTTTCCTTTTTTTTTATTCGTGGTTTTTAGTGGTCAAAGGTTACAATACTAGAATACTGCAGACATGTATATTCATGTACATTTGTTAGTATTTTCTTCAAATTATTCCCTTTAGTGTTGGTGTAGCTGTAACAAGTGAATTTCTCACTGTGGGATCAATAAAGTCTGTTCTATTCTATTCTATTCTAAATATCCCTCTAAGTAAAACAACTGCTTTACATATGATTAAACCAGTTAGGAAGGAAAATAGATTTATTCTTGTATAAGATAGTGTCATTATTCCATATGTGGAAATTGTGAGGAGAGAATGCGTTTTTAAATAAGAGATCAAGCTAGGAGCATTTGCTTATTTTAATTCAACAATTTAATGGACAATTTTTGAATATTGTAATTAGTGTGGAGGATAAAGGGGTAGCCACCCTGTTCAGCAAATATAAAATTCCATATCGAGTCTGAGGTGAATTTTCTATCCCAGTTGATTTTAAAAGTGTAGTTTTAGGTGGTGAAGTCTAGGAAACTGAGAGCCCCTGAGTCCATAGGGTTTAAAAGGATGTTATCTTTAATGTAGTAGAGCATGTTGTTGGTTTTATAGGTGGAGGTGTCAACATGCACAGGATGTGTTATCCTGGATATCCCTTCAGCCTTAGTTGATAAAGTTCCTCCTCTCACTCTGAAGCCAGAAGCTGAATCTTTCTTTGTTTTTGTCGATGATGGTGTGGCAGGATGGAGAAACGGGGGCCCGGACGGGATTCCATCCCCAGACTGCCGGGTGAGAGTCATGCGCGCTAACCAGTCAGCCGAAGGGACATCCCACCGACCAAGTAGCCAGGGTGCATGATCAATCAGGTCACAGTGACGGGATGCTCACCCTAGGATCAAAGTTTAAGCTGCACCTTTCATCAGTATTCTTAGTAATAATGACTCCAAGATGAGTTACTTGTGTTTTGACAGGAATATCGCATAAGACTGAATGAGTGCATGATGATATTAGTAACAGCTGGTGGCAGGTATATATTGTCGCTTTTAAGCTTAATAAATTACCTTTACTTATGACCAATAAGCTGTGATGCTCTATATAAATACAGAATATCAACCTGCTTGGTCTTTGGATGTTTAATCAGAAGATTCTAGGATTCTTGTTTATTCAGGGATCAAACACACTCCGTTATCAATACAAACATTCAGGTTTATAAAAGGGAAGAAATTTATTTTCTGAACAAAAACATGACAAGTTAACCAAGGTTACTGTGATGGATGAATGTAAGAAGATGGGATGTGATGTGTGGGGATTTAATGGTGTGTGTTTATCAGAACCTTGTATCTAGAAGAACTGAGTTCTGGGTGTGAAAGTGGATTTGGTCTGCTTTAAACTATGAACCGGCATCAGACACAATCATGCTGTGTTCTACGTACCCCTGAGGAGACTCCCTTTCGGATCCGAGATGTCGGGGGTGTGTGTGTGTGTGTGTGTGGGTGTGCCGAAGGTACCGAAGTTCGTAGAAAAGACCGCAGTACGACCAGGTCGGTCCAGAGTCGTTTCCCGGATCACAACAGATAGATGAAATCATTTGCGTCTAGAACAGCTGTTTCTGAATAGCTGAAGGAACCATTTAGCTGTGTCAGCTGTAGCGTGTAGGCTCTTG